TTATTGGTTCTGTTCTTGGAAGAATGCATGGGTTACACTACCGAGCCTGAAGACATCATGAGGGTGCAAAAGAGATTGCTACAGAAAACTTAGTGCTCACAATTTCAACAACTTTCAAGAAACAATTCCTTGAAAATTAAAATCTCAGTGATGTCATATTTAAAGAAAGTCTTCAAGGGTAGCCATTATAAATACGTTAATAGAACTAAAGGAAAACAAATAAGGAAGGTACGACAATGTCACATCAAATAGAGATTAATAAGGGTTAGAAATTAGTAAAGAACAGGCCCCTCCCTGGTGGTGCAATAGGTTAAAGCACAGCACTAGGAAACTAGCCACAGACCACTTACCATGAGTTCGATCCCCAGCCAGGGAGGTGACCCACATGGCACAGCAGACCTCTCCTGTCTCACCTGCTGCTCCCCTCAGCAGTGTACTTTGTCAATCTACCTTTTCTGCTCCCCACTCTGTCTCTGGCCTCTCACCACTCACACCTCTGGCCTATACTCCAGTTCTGTATGCATAAATAGATCTTTTATAAAATAGGAAATTAGTAAAGAACAAAATGAAAATTAGCCAGTTGACAAGTACAATTAATGAAATAAAAATTCACTAGAGGGAATGAACAGAAGATCTGAAGTAGCAGAAGAACTAGTAGACTTGAAGTACATCATAGGAGATTATGCGAGCTGAAAGAAAAATGAACACAGACTCATAAAAGCCATTAAGAGCACCAACAAAGATATAATGGGAAGAAGACCGGAAGGTGAACACTCAATTAAGGCTAAAGATGTCCCAAATTTATTGAAAAACAACCTATATATTCTGGGGATGCAATGGGTGTAGTAGAATAAATGCAAAGAGATCCACAGACTTATATAAGTGCTGAAAGTCAAAATCCTAAAAATAACAAAATAATTAGAACTGGTAAATTATTTCAGCAAGATTGTAGGGGTTAAGATCAATATATAAAAATCAACTATATTTCTATAATCTGGTATAGAATAATCCAAACTAAAACAAAAAAAAATGTCCCATTCATAACGGCACTAAAGAGAAAATATTTAGGAATAAAATTTAACAGAAGTACAAATTTCATACTCTGGAAACTATGAAACATTGTTAAAAGAAAATTAAATACAGGCCCTCCCTGGTTGCCCAACCGGTTAAAGCACAGCACCATGAGATTACTGTGGCCACTGCAGCATGGAGTTGATTCCTGGCCCGGGTGGTGACCTGGCTTGGCAGACCTCTCCTGACCCACCCACTGCTCCCCTTAGTAGTGTATTTCAGTACACCTGCCTGTTCTGCTCCCCACTGTCTCTGGTGAATCCTCTCTTCCACCCCCTCCACACCCCGCACACCTCTGGCCTCTACCTGCTCTGTCAGCATAAATAAATAAATCTTAAAAAAAAAATTAAATACTTAGGGCCCTCCATGGTGGTGCAACAGGTTGAAGCACAGCACATGAAGTTAGCCAAGGCCTCTTCAGCGTGAGTTTGATCCATGGTCAGGGAGGTGACCCACATGGCGCATCAGACTCTCGTCTCACCTGCTGCTCCCCTCAGCAGTGGTCTTATCAATTTGCCTGTTCTGTTCTCCAATCTGTCTTTGGTGAATCCTTTCACCACCCACACCTCTGGCCTGTACCCCAGTTCTTGTATGCATAAATGTATGTTTAAAAAAGAAAACAGTCTGTTCCTCAAACTACATGATGCAACTACAGCCCTAGCTATATAATATCCAAGAGAAATGAATACCTGTATGTGACTGTTTATAGCAACATTATTTGTATCAGATAACTCAAGTGTCCATCAATAAATGGGTAAACAAAATGTGCCATAAACAATGCTATACTTGGCCAAAAAAAGGAATGAACAGAGATGAATCTTCAACAAAGATAAGTGATATAAGCCAGTTAACAAAAGGCTACACTATGTGATTCCATTAACACGAAACTTCAAAACAGGAAATAAAATAGAAAAATAAGTGCTTTGAAGAGCAAATGGATAAAAACTGGCAGAAAAATATCAGCAGCAAGTTCAAAGAGGGCACTGATAGCCACTGAAAGTAATGAAAGTTTCCAAGGACCCAGTCTGTCCTAGAGAGCTCCTAACCCAGCACTGTAGAGGCTGATGAGAATTGAACAAAATGCTGAAAGATCCCTAATGTCTGTGGCAGAGTAAGAAGGTGCAGCAAGTGTAGGGGGACTGGGGATTCCAGGGGACTGCAAGTGCTTACCTGAACATGTAACACTGCCATCTGTTAAGACACTGAAGACCACTAGTTTGGTACTTCCACAGCAGGAAAAGCAGTAGAGAAGCAATAAAATCTAGTCCCGATAATCTCATCAGTAAAACGGGAAGTTAGCAGAATCCTGACAGAAGGGAACAGATACAGCAAGTCTCTTCAGAGAACAGTAAGTGGAAGGACAGGCACTTGTGAATTGCAAATGACCAGTTTCTCCTCAGTCAGGGCCTAGGTCAAAGTGAGGGTAATAAGGACTTGCTGGAAAATAAATGACTGCAAAGGAGGAAGCAACCTGGGCTTGCATCTGCCAGGTTTTTCTGTTTGTTTGTTTGTTTGTTTTTTTTACGGAAGGGTGAGAACGCTATAACAGCTTTTCCAACAAACTCCTCTTTTCAACAAATGGAGTAACTGAACATCCAGAGGCAAAATCAAAAAACTTTACAGCCTCACAAAAATGTTCTTCCATTATAGGAATTATTCAAATTAGATATTCAAATGGAACACAGGACATAAAACAGTTAACACTGTAAGAGAAAACAGTGGAGAAAATCCTCAAATTCCGAGGGCCAACCAGAATTCTTACACTAAAACATGGTCCATGAAAGGAAGCTTGATAATCTGAACTTTAATCAAAATGTAAAACTTCTGTAAGACTGTTAAGATGAAGAGATATAGATAGGGAGCAAATTATCTGCAACCATCTGACAAGGATTAGTGACCTGAAGAACTCTCAAAACAGTAACAATCCATTAAGAACTTGAGCAGTAGGTATGAAAGCGATGACTCCCACAGGTGACAAACTTACCTGTCATCAGTCAAACAGAATCTGTTCAGCATCACTAGCCATCAGGCAAATGCTAATGAAAACAAGACACCACCAGATGACTGTGCGCTGAGGACAGCACAGGCCGGTGAGGCTTGGAGCCGAGTGTTCCACACACTGCTGGCGGGGATGGGAATGCCGTCCAGACAGGACAAGAACTTGGTAGTTTCCCATACCACCAGGCAGTTGTATAATCTTGGGTGTCTAGCCTAGTTTCGGCCAAAAACTTGCACACAGGGCCTCCCCGGTGGCTCAAGGAGGATTGTCTCAGCACTATGAAGCTATGTGCAGCACAAGTTCAATCCCTGGTCAAGAAGCTGACCCACCTGCTGCTCCCCTCAGCAGTGTATTTCAGTGGATCTGCCTGTTCTGCTCCCCACTGTCTCTAGTGAACCCCCTCACTTCCTCCCACACCCCAGCACCTCTGGCCTACACCCTAGCTCTTGTATGCATTAAAAAACCTTAAAACAACAACAAAAAAGAACCCCAAGAACTTGCACCCAGGGTTGAATTTCAAGTGAAACAGCACTTGCAATTGAACTGCAAGTGAAACAAAGAATTACTGGCACCCATCACCACCTGGCTTGAGTTCCAAGCACTGTGTAGCACAGAAATTCAATTCCTTAAGGTTCTGTACTCAATGGTTCCCTCTATAGAACATTCTCAAACAGACAAAGTAGAATGAAGAACTGGTGGTCACTGGTGCCTGAGATGAGGGGTCTTCCTGGTGATGGAAATGTCCCGCATCGACTTCTGTTTCCAGGAGTGCTGGTGTGACTTTCACTGCACCAGACTTGAAATGTTGCAGTTGAGGAAATTGGGTAGAGGGCACAGGGGCTGTGGCACTGTTTCTGCAACTGGTAACAGCCCCTGACTCTTGAATAGATCACCAAGGGAATGAGCATTACTTTACTTAATGGAACTTCTGAGAGGCCTCCCGAAACTGGCTCTGTACCTTGGGTACCAGCTCTTCTCTCTGAAATGCTCTCCCCAATTCTTTCACCTTGCCTGGGCTAGCTCAGTATCTCCTTCAGAAGGTCATTTCTGGATGCCCCTCCCACACACACCAAAAAATGACATACCCCAACCACACCACTGGAGTCCAAATGCCAGTGTTCTCAGCACTGCTGTACAATGGCTCCTCTCCCCAGGCGTGTGGGAAAGCCCAGCAGGGAAAACAGGAGAGTGGATTGCTGTGGGCTGGGCCCGAGGCAGGTGGCCTTCTGTTCCTCAGCTCTACCCCATCACCCATTCTCTCCTCCATGCTGCTGGAGGCGGCACTCCCTCCCCTGGGTCTGTTCTGCCAGCACAGGTCAGGTGAGGTTAGGAGGGTGAGAAGCCTGCTTCTTCCCAGTGTCTGGTACCCCAGCAGTGAAGGGTTCCCACACTGGCAACATGATGCTATGTCAAGGTGTGGTGACAGGAAGGGTCTCTCCTGAGCCTGCAGCATCAGCCCAGTGGGCTCTTTTTCTACCCCAGAGCCAGTGCTTGGCAAGTGCCCAGTCCTTCTGCCACCCACCAGCACATATCCTCAGGAGCCCTCCAATTCCTCTAAGCCCATGCTTGGGAGCTCATGCTGGGACCACGATGGATTAGTAACCACACCACAATGAGGACATGAGGCCATGCACTCAACTGGCCTCCCTAGGACTTCATGCCCTGAATTCAAGGATTCACAGTGCTGAGCTGATCACAGGCCCTAAGTGACACGCTAGCCAGAGGCGAACAAGTGTATATGAGGTATCCTTGTGGGTGGCAGAAAGTAGGGCAGATGGTCAGATGTGCAGCTGGAGTGCCCAGGGCAGTCAGGATGAAGGCTGTTTTCTGTCCAGAGAGCCAGCCCTTCTTCGCAGGCTCCATCTCCACGACTAGCAGGTTCTGCTGACACAGGGAAGGTATGCACTGAGAGGAAATGTGGGCAGTGACTTCCCAGCTGCTGAAGCAGAGATAGGAGGTGGGTCGACAAAGCCTAGGAACACCTCCTGGTGTTGAAAACCAAAATTAAAGATTTATTACCCACAAGGAGGCCATCTGCTATTGCAGCTGCACCCCACCTTGGCCAAAGTCCTGCACTTAGGGCTTGTCCTCTAGTGTGCTACCTTGTGCCACCCTGCTCCCACCCTGTCCCCACAGCTAGGCCTCCAGGAACACGATCCACGCTTTGGGACAGGTCACTTGGCCAGCTCCTCGGCCACTGCTTTGCGCATCTTGTCCTTGAGGTAGGCACTTTTCTGCCACTCAGACTTGAGTTCCAGCCACTCATAGAAGGGCACCTGGGGGAAGGTGTTAAGAGATAGGTCAGGAAGGAGGGGGGCCTGGTCTGCCTGTTCTGTACACCACACTCTGGCCCCCAAATCCTAAAGGAGCCGATGGAGCAGTAGAGTGAGTGAGACCTGTGAGTGAGAGAGACCTGGCTCCATCAGTACTCAGGTGGGATGGGCCCGAGTCAACCGCTCAGGGTTCACAACTACACGGGCCACAAGGATGGCTTTTGAGTTTATAAAAGTTTACAAAAAAACCACCCAAAGAAGCAACTATCACTAAACTCTTACGTGACCCATAAAGGTTGTATTCTCTGGGTGCTTATGGGCAGTGTGTGGTCTCTGGAAGAGAAGAGCATGAAGGTCATCTCCTAGTTGAGAGCCCAGAGAGCTTTACACTAGCCTGGCCTCACTCCTGCCCTGAGTGGATGGGGGCTTCTTCCTGAACAGTCACATCTACACAGCAGGTACTTACATCAACCACCAGGAAGCCAGCAGCCCGCACATGGCGCCGGGCCAACACAAAGCGTCCCAGCAGGTCTTTGCTTCGGCTGTTGAAGTTGGGGAACTCCCACCTCAGGAAGGCCAGTCTGGTGGGGAAGACAGGGGGCGCTATGGGTGCTGACATCTGGCCCTTAGAGAAATACTGAGAAGAGCCAAGTGTGCCTATGCCCAAGATCTGTGTGCCACCTACCTTTTAGCCCCAGGGGGCAGTGGCTGGCTCCCGGAGGGCTGGGTGAGATGAGGGGCCACAAAGTCCCTCAGGGGCAGGAACTGGCCATCTCTATCCAGCAGCACTTCAGCATCTGGAGAGGGGCATGGGACGGGAAATGCTCAGGGAGGATTATCCTGGGGAACAGCTGGGTGAAAGCTCAAGGGCCTGTTGAGCGCCCCAGCCTTTTCTGTTGCAGCTGCAGGTAGACATGGCTCTGTGGGAATCTGGGCCAACCCTTAGTCTGGAGGGGGCTGGATCAGAACAGCTCACCGAGGGGATCACTGAAGTCCTGAGAGGTCTCAGGCTTAAACAGGCCTTATGTCAACACTTTGGGAGAAAATAGGGGGATTCCTCACCCAGAACCCAGCCATATTGCGTGGCCACCATGAAGTTGCCCAGGTCAGCATTCCCCAGAAGCCCGTTCAGTGTCTCTTGCAGCTCCTTTTGAAACGGGGTCGCCTTCTTATCAAGGGCTGAGGGCCTGGGCACCAAGGCTGAGGCTGGCAGAAGGGGGCCTGTGTACTCGGGGAGCTCTAGTCGGGCAGTGGCATTGATGTGGAGCAACTTCTGCAAGGTGCTCTGTTCCTTTGGGGACTTGTCACCTAGAGGAGGAAAAAGAAGGAAAGCTTAGGTCACAAAATGGAGGAATAAGGGTGGCACGGGGGAAAGGGAGTAGCACCCCAACCATAAGCCCCTCTGGATAAGGAACAGGTTTGCGGTCACCTGAGGGGAGTGTATGGAGAAGGACCACGTGCTGGATGAGACCTAGATCGACCGATTCTCCCTGCTCTGACAGGGCCGATGTCACAGACACAACATAGATGGGCAATGTACTTGTCTTCACTCAGCAGAGGTAAGTCGCACCCAAGGCTCACCTAGAAACTGGGTGTGAAGTTCAGGGCGCAGCACAGCCTGCAGTTCTGCATCCTGCACCTGCTGCAGCACACACAGGGCCCACACCAGGTCCACCTGCAGGGCTGGGTCCAGGTGTGCTAGCTCTGATCCCAGCTTCTCATGTACCTGAGGAGAAAGTGGGCTCTGCTCAGTGGCTGCAGATCTCCCCAAGCACAACAGTGGGGGAGCAAGCTCAGAGGCACTTTAGGGCAGGCTTCTGGCAACTTTAGATGTAAGGTACCACAAAACTTCCTCATCCCCTAGGGTTAGTCTGAGCAGCAAGACCACTCAGCTGAGCTTTCCCACGGCTCCTCTCACTGGCAGGGGACAAAGGAAGACGCTCTGCTGGCTCTGAGAGGAAGCTGACTCAATAAAATAAGCTGGTTGGCACCCTGTCAGGGGCCATAGGCAAGCCTGGCCCACAGATGCAGGTGCACTCAGCATCGTGGCCCGCATACCACTTGGCCCTATCAGCAGGTCTGAGGTAGACCATGGAGGTTAAGGACGGTACCGGGAAAGTAGACCAGGGGCCCCCACTCCTGACTGCATCATGAGGGAGTGGTCCTGAGCAGCCTGGATACTGGCTATGGCTGGCTCATCCTCTACCACTGCCTGCGAGCCCCCACACCAGAACTTGTCCATTTCTGCCTAGTCCCGAGGACCAAATATCAACATAATGGGGGGGATGAGAGCACAAAGACCATACCAGGCTGAAGAACTGATCCTCTTGCTCTGGATGGAAGTTCAGACGGGCAAAAGCCAGAAGCATGTTGCACAGGTATGGCAGGGAGACGTCCTGGGCTCTGTTCAGTACGTGCTGGGTTGGCCAGGTAAGGCAAAAGGCAGGATGAGAGGAGCCTGGTGGCCAGGACAAACCCCCCAACCCCCACCAGGCCCAGCAGCCCCAGGAACATAGGGTGATTTACCAGATCCCAGCCTCTTAGCAATTACTCAAGGATGGGGACCTCAGGAACCTCACTCCTGGCAGCTTTAGGAATACTCTGTAACCAGTAACTCAGGTTTGGCTAGTCTCAAATGCCTCTGGCCTTGGGCAATGTCTTCCCTCACAACCCTTTGGGAAGGAGTTCTGAGGGGACCCTTGAATTCACCATCCATGCTGCTCCCTGCTGAAGCCTCTGAGAATGGAAACTCCTCTCAACCACATTTCCTTTCACTACTGAGCAATATCACTTCTTCACAAAATAAGCTAAAGAGCAAGAAACAGCTATTTGGCACCTGGACAGTATTTTTCAGGCCAGTAATTGCTTCCCTGATGAAATGACTAGGTAGCAAGTACAGGGACCATGCCTTAGGTATACACCCTGAGTTTACCTGAGCAAGGGCCTCAAACAGAGGGAGGTTGAGCCACTTGAGGAAGGCAAAGGACTTGGTACAGCGGGCCACCTCGCTGGACGTCATGCTAGATACATGAGGGAGCAGGTCAGCAGCCAGACGCTGGAACACCTGGGTCTGGTGGAAGTTGAGCTTGCCTTTGGGACAGAGCAGACCCCACGGTTTACCTGGTTAGGGCTGGCAGGCCGGTTGCCCACTGGGCCACTCCACCAAACTACCCCACTTCCCTGCCCTGGTGTCAAGCTCTAGCAGTTTGGTGTCTGTGACCAACTTTATCCCTGAGGTCCAAGAGAGATGATCAGGGCCCATGAGTCACAGTGTCACTGGCAGCCATCTGGGTTGGTGCCTGCCACGGGTAAGCCAAGCATCTAATTTGACGAAGCCAAGTGTCTTCATCCCCTCTGTTCCCCTAAGGGCTCACCATAGACATAGGCCAGGTCCAGGAGAACTCCTTTAGTTAGGGTGAAGGGCTTCTGGACCAGGTGGTAAGAGACAGCCCGCAGCAGGGGCACCGACCGCCGGTTCTGAGCCGCCAGAGTCAACAGCACCTTCCGTAGCTCATCAGGCCCAAACTGCTCCACCAGCTCCAGACACTGTCAACCACAGCCGGCAGGGGTCAGCTTGTTGGCCTGAGGGCCAGGGGTCCCATGCAGTGCAGCCCCTGCGAGACAGCAACTACACCTGAGCTTCCTAGACCCAGGCCCCATCTATGCAGGGCCTGTCTCACTCCCATCCAAGGACACCCTGTTTGCAGCCAAACGTATCCCAGGATCAAGGGCAGTCACCATGAGCTGTGTGGGCTGTGGCAGACATCTGGACCATTCTCTACTATGATACAAATAGGGGCTGAATTTGACTGTGGGGCCAAGGGTTTGGGGGACAGGGACATGACCTCCCTTGAAGTGCTAGTCAGCCATCTTGGCTGGCTCAGGCTGTGCCCATCTCTTGCTGCTTAGTGCTCCCATCCCACCCAAGGTGATGCCTCAGATTCTGGACAGAAAAACTTCCAGAAAAACACCCCTTTCCCAGAGGTCTTTACCCAAGAAATAAGCCCAGAGCTGGTTTGGGGAAGGGTGGGGACGAGGAGGAGAAAAAGGCAGGAAGCCTCTTCTCAGCTACCTTGTCCTCTAAGCGGTTCATCAGTGATTCCGAGAGGTGTCCTGCTTTCATCATGATGGATACCAGCATGCGACTGTCTTCGATTTCTGCCCAACGTCTCTCCAAGTGCACAAGCAGCTCAGTCAGCAACTCCTGGGAAGGCTGCTCCTGCATGTAGGTGATGCTGGATTCAGCCAGGAAGGCCAGGTGCTTGTACTTAAGCCTGCGCATGCGCCAGCGAACCTCTTGCTCCACAGACCGAAGTTCCTTTGAGGTTGCGGGAAGCTCCAGCGTATAGAGGCTCCGAAGCAGTTTCACAAGGGTTCCATGCCAGACTGTGGTTATCTGGGTGGGAAGGACACAGGCAAATTTATATCTGTGTTACTGAGAGGGCTGAGGGTCTAAGCTGGAAGCGGCCTTCCCAGTCAGCATTATTTTAAGGCAGGCACTTCTAACTGGTTACATCAGGCTATTCCTCCTGGCCACTGTCTGGCCTGGCTCTCCAATCACCAAAAAAAACAAAACAAAACAAAAAAACTACTTTTGCTGCAGTTAGCCACGTTGTCTATTATCACTGTGAGCAAGAACTCTGAGTGATAAGAGAAAGTCACCAAGTTTCCCTAACACAAATTTGAGTGATGCAGTGGATTAAATGGAGTTCTGCATGGTGGAGAAAACTGACTTTTGCTCTCATCTGTGCTCATGCCAGCTGCAAGCAACACTGTCAAGTCCAGACTAAGTCAGAGTGAGGGGGCCTCCCCGGTGGCACAGAGGTTAGTGTCACTGCTATCAAGCTATCACCAGATACTGTGGCATGAACTTGATCTCCGTCCAGGGAGCTGACCCACATGGCGCAGCAGAAGCTCTTCTGTCTCACCCGCTGCTCCTCTCAGCAGTGTATATCAGTAGAGCTGTCTGTTCTGCTCTCCACTGCTTCTGGTGAAGCCTCTCACTCCCTCCCCAATACTTGTGCATAAATAAATAAAAAGAAATCTTAAAAATATAAAGTGAGAGTGACTCCCTGGCAAATGTGATCCTAATAATCAGTTAGGATATTTAGGGTCCATTCTGCCAATGAACTCATCACTGTCACTTGCAAGGACAATTATAATTTTTAGCTATTAAAAACAGTGACTTCCTCATAGCAGGAGTATAAAGGACCAGGGGAGAAAATAATAGTAATAATGAACAACTATATACCAGAGACATTTTATGGGGATGGAACGGGGAATGGGATCAAAAATAGTGAGGGAGGGGAAGTGCACTGGACTATGGTGATGGCCCACAGGCGATTTGGTGATGGGAAGCCCATGGGGATTACAACTAAGATGGAAAAAGGCACAAAATGATGTAAAAATAAACTATTATTAAAAACAAAAACAAAAAACCACAGTGACTTCATTTTTTGGAAACGCTGTTGGGTCTGCGAGGATATGCGGGGGAGGGGCAGTGTCACAGATCAGGATTATACGGCAAGGGGGAAGCACCCAATTAACTGAGAAAAGTCCCACACTTTCATGTCTAGCTGTTTGTCTATAAGGAAGGACGATTCACCTAACACGGCTGGAGTGAGAAAGCATATGAGAATACTTTGACATCTACAAAATGAGAAAAAAATCACCAGATGTTGAGGGACTCCTAAGCATATGTTAGGATCCCTGTTCTATACCTGGAAAGAGAATGGCTATTTTGGATACCTATATCTTTGCTGTTTTCCATTTGTTAACTCATCAGAGAATACTCAAGAACCCACCTGACTGTTAGCAAGATGGAGAAGTTGCTGAAAGCGGGGATCCTGTGTGAGCAATACTTTGTCCTGTGATTTCTCAGATAGTAGGCGAGAGATCTGGATGAGCATGAGGGCTGCATGGTTCTGATGCAGGCAGTGACCACCACCTAGGAGCTTCAGTACCTCTTCTGGTTGTGTGGCCTTTTCTATAAGGTGGTCTACCTCTTGGCGCTCTGGGTAGGGAGTAAACACTTGTTCCTTCTCCACAAGCTCAGACAAGGGACGTGGTATATGGGAACTGGGTGAGGTAGCTGAGGAAGTCAGAGTCCGATGGGCTACCCCAGCAAGTCTTAGTCGGCCAGCTGCAGACACAGCAGGGGCTAGACGTGTGGCTTCTCTCAGGAGGCATGTGCATTGCTTTACCAGGCGAGCTGCCATGCTGACCCTGGACAACAGCAAGGCAAGACTCCTAAGTAGTGATTCCAAAGCCCTGAAAAGAAGAGAGAACCAGGTTGGTGTTTGTAGTTCCTGACTCACAAAGGACAAGTGAAACTGAATCATAGGTACAATCTCAATAAATCAGCCCCATTTTCAGACTGCCCACATTCATGGGCTTTTTGGGAGGCAAAATCTCATTGGATTTTAGTTTCAGTTCAGAATGTAACCAAATATCAAAATTCAGAAGCATTACAGCTTGGTTTGGAGGGGTTTGAATTCAGCTTTTATTTCAAAATCAGCTAGAATGGTTCAACCACTCAAGATTCCTGGGGCGTCTCTCCAATATGTGAATGTAAAACTCTGCAAGTAAGGTTCCAACAGCATTTATTAAAGAGTTAAAAATACCCAGGATTAAGAATGACTGGTTTACAGAGATAATGGGAAAGGATATTTAAAATCATACAGCCCCTGGAAAGTTCTGGTCATATAATAGCTTTAGTGGATGTATCCCAATACTTTTAGTAATGTATCTAGCTTTCCAAAACCAAGCTAGATTACATCAACAAGTTAAAAAAAAGAAAAAGAAAATTGCACTGGCAACACCAATCATGAGTTGGCCCAGAGTCATCTACTCAGTTCTATCTCTGTATCTGGGCAACATCTCATGTTTTCATTACATCTTCATAGTGCTGGGCTGATGCCTCTTCCTAGCCCCTCAACCAAGGGGCCCAGAAAAACATTACCTTCTTCATCCGTCGGTTACTAATGCCAGTGATTATGACAATGCTTTAAATAATTTTTTTTGCCAATGACAATGCTTTAAATAATTTATCTGCCCAGTCTTGTTCACCAGGATGATTCTATGACCAGGGCAAGGTACATAATAGGGACACGATAAAATGCTAACCTGAGACTCTCTCCTGCCAATGTGAGATTACTTTTTACTAAAACTTGGTGTATACGCAGCATGTTTTTGCTTTTTTTACAAACAGATTACCCCAGCTGTAAAAAGCTTAATGTAGTGAGGCGCAGGAAGAAGGAATACTGGCCCAAGGTCAACATACAACATTCAGAGCGCAGGTAACCCGGAAACACCTGAAACGCTTCCGACTGAAGGCAACCCTAGAGCTAGGAGAGAAACTGAGGTTCAGAAAACCCAAATGAATTTGGACAGATACCAACCCGGAAGCTCGAACCTCGGTGCACGAAAGCCACTCACTAAAGATGCGGAGTCAGTGGGAGGCTCGCTGGCCACACATGCCCCCTCCCAAGACTGCGGAAGAGGCAGACGCAGGTACGAATCGCGCCTAATCGGGACACGGGCCCTCTGCCCAGTCTGCCCGTCTGTCCCCCAAGTTCGGGCGCGTACTCTAGGTCACCCCTCGCAGCCACGCCCTCTTCCCTCAAGACCCACACATAACAGTTACTCCTTCTCCCTGCCCCGAGACCAACGCACCGCCGGCGCCGCCGCTGACCTCCATGTACCCAAGTCTGTCCTCGGTCCACGAGGCGCGGCGCGCTAGTTACGTCACCTGAGGCGCCGCCGGGAGCGTGACTCGCGATTCACCGTTAATCCGGAAGTCGCTGTTGAAGTCCACTTCCGATGGGAAGCCATCTTTGTTGAGGGCACATGGTCGTCTACCTCTTTCCAACTGAATACCATCTTTGTTGAGGGTATATACTACCTGATGGGAAAATTGAACTAGAAACGGGATGGGCAACATGGGGAGAAAAAGAAAGGAAAAGGAATCCAAAACTGGAGAAGTCCTGAAGACTTGGTTTCCCTACAGACAATGCCCAGGTCCTTAAACAGAGTACGGGAGAAGCCCTTTGTTTTGTGCCCAACGTCATCACCCTCCCATAGTCTTTGGAGGTGCTGTGGTGTAGATTGCCCACGTTGGGCTGTGTGAGGTTTGAGCCAGGAGCTGTGGGCTGTTCTCTTTATGGGAAGCTGCTAAATGCCCACTCAGAAGCTGAGGACTACAGGTTTTTTGGCTTAATTTTTTTTCTTGTAGTCCTCATAGTTCTTCCACCACTGTGGCTGGCACCTGTGACCATCTCCGTAGTCCCTTGAGCTATTCACTCCCCTGGCTTGACCCCTCTCCCTACTCCTCCCCTGCTGTATGCCTCAGATTTACTTGCAAATTTTGTCTTTTTCCTGATCCTTTGTTCGTTTTCCCTATATTCTCCCTATGAGACCATCTAATATTCTTTTTCCTTCTGACTTATTTCACTTAGCATAATCCCTTCTGGCTCCATCCATGCTACCACAGATGGTACGAGTTTATCTTTTTTTGATCTCTGAGTAATACTCTATTGCATATGTACACCACATCTTGATCCAGTCATCTGTTTTGGGGGCACTGAGGTTGTTTCTATATCTTAGCTATTGTAAACAGTGCTGTAGTAAACATAGGAGTACAGGTTTTCCTTCAAATTCGTGTTTTGTGTCCTTTGGGTATATTTCCAGGGGTGGAATAGCTGGATCATATGGTAGATCCATTTTTAGCATTTTGAGGATCCCCCACACAGCTATCCATAGCAGCTGGATCAGTATGCACTCCCACTAGCAGTGTAAGAGCAACATTTGTTGTTGCCAGTTTTAAATTCATAAATTTAAAACTTTATGCTTGACTGCAATCAAGCCAAGATGACATCAGAGGTGATTCCTTGCAATGCCCCTTGGAGGTTAATCTGTTGATTATATAGACCTACACTGTAATTTGGGACAAAACTGGAATACCTCCTATATATCAAAGACCAGCACAGACTACACAGAGAAGACACTAGATAGATTCATGTTTCATTAAAAATGAGGTGGGTAGAGAGAGATATGCTTGGAGGCTGTGCTCAGGGCTGGGATAACTGTTAATGCAAACTGCTGATGCTCAGCTAGTTCTGGAGAAAGGAGAACTGAATGGTTTAGAGGCACATACCTTTGACTGGGGGGAAATAGTGTGTGGAAGAGCTGGGATCCTCCCAGCAGTCTGGGTCTCCAGTAAAAAGAACAAGGCCAGTGCAACAAGTTGCACCACCCCCAGCCCCCTACCTCTCAAAACAAGTACCTCATGAAATTCACTGATAATATAGACTGCAGCATCTTAGTTCTGGAACTCCAAAGAAGAGACGTATTGCTAATGCCACAAACATGATCCAGCTATGCCAACTATACATTTGCTCCAGTGGTCAGACCCCTCATGTTCTCTTACCCACCCCCTAACTCAGCACCTGAAAGATCAAATCTCTGTATCTGTTAAATTGGGAAAGGACAAAAATCTAAAATCAGATAAAACCATAGTACCACCTGCTGGAAAAAAGAAGTAATGTAGTTATCCAAGCTACTGCTATAGATATTTAAAAAATACAGAAATCTAAAACAGCAAAATGTGTAGACAAAACAAAAAAAAAACAAAAAAAGAAACCAAGACCTGAAGGTATAACAGTGTGGTCCCCAGGAAAAGGGGAAGTTCCAGGTTCCCTGCCCCACTCAAAAGAAGGTTGGAGCTGAGGAGAGAAGAGAAGCATCTGGAGAGGAGACTGAGGAGGAAGGAAGCAGGATGGAAAGCCAGAAAGAGACCTGAGGGAGGCACAGGGAGCAGAGAGACATGTGAAGAAACTGTGCTTGCTTCTTCTTGGTCCTGGATTGGTTGAAACAGATTTGTGTGAGAGACCCATGTGTGTGGAGGAGGTTAACTATGGCCGCATTTATCTTGATTTTGATTTTGCTCTTTTCCTATTAGACTTGTTTGGCCATTTCTGACCCTTTTTCATGGGTTTCTGCTGGAAGGTGCTTTACACTTGTGGTGGGCTTTCATGGCTTGCTTTGGGTAGACTTGGTAGACTTTTACCACGAGGGGATAACTTTGGGTATTTGATTTAGAAACTATATTCTTTGTCTTTTCTGTATTGCACACTAATTGTATTAAAATTCCTTTCTGTCAAATGTCTTCTATGTTTTGTCTTGATGCAGTGGGTGGCAGAACCTATTTAGAGCAGGCAGGTTTGGGGTTCAGCCGTGTCCCTCTCTCCCTGCCCTATAATAAAGGGAGTATATCTTCACAAGGAAAGAACAGCTTTCTAAAAGCTAAGCAAAAAGACCTGGAAAATCTCATCTTCTATCAGATACAGAGTTCAAAATGCCAGCACAGAGAAATTCAAAGAACCAGAAGGAAGCACAAAATAGCAAGTCAAAGTGATATTAGTGAACCCAGAAAAGCTAATCAAAGATACAGTAAAATTCAGAAAAATATATGAATGACATGTGACAAAAGATTAATGAACAGAAAATAGAAATGAAGTTTTAAAACTTTTGTGTAAATAAAAATATAACATATAAAAACATCAGTAGAGGTGATAAAAATTCAGGAGAGAGAGTTATAGACTCAAAATAGACAAAACTGAGGATTAAATAAGCGACCTTCAAGATAATAATACACACAGTACCAAGATGGAAGAAGAAAGACAAATACAAAGGAAAACAGTTGTGAAACATTTTGAGAACTACCAGGTTCTATTAAGCATGGCAACATAAGGATACTGAATGTTCCAGAAGAAGGAAAGAGAGAGAAAAAGGAACAGAGAAATTATTCAAAGAAATAATAGAGGAAAACTTTCTTAAGCTACAGAAAGATCCAAATATATAAGTTCATGAAGCTATAAGGACAATGGATTATCTTAATGTAATGACATCTATACAAAGACACCCATACAAAGGGACATCAAACTATTAACAAGTTTGAAAACAGACACCTGTAGCAACACAATAGTACTAGCAGACTTCACACTCCATTTTCATCATGGGAGAGCTTAATCAGACAGAAAGTCAACAAAGCAGCAATAACCTTAAGTGAGGAATTAGACCATATGGACTTAATAGGCATTTGTAGAGCACTCCATCCCCCAAAACTGAGTAGACATTCTTTTCAAAAGCATGTGGCACTTCCTCCAGAACAGACCACATGCTGGGTCTTAAGAAGAGTGTCAATAATTTCATGAAGATTGAAGACAGAGCAAGTATATTCTTTCGTCACAATGATATTAAACTAAAATCAACCACAAAAATAAAGTGGGGGTAAACCTCTTATATTTGGAGACTGAACAACATACTACTGAATGACTATTGGGCTAGCGAGGAAATCAAGGAAGAAATTAAACAAATACCTAGAGACAGACAAACATGAAGGTATAAGCTTCCACAATCTAGCCAATGTAGCAAAAGTAGTACATATGTTGTAATATAAGCCAATATCAAAAAAACAAGAAAGAGCTAAAAATATAATCTGATCCTACACCATAGGAGCTAGAAAAGGAAGAAACAAAACCAAAAGCAAATAGAAGGAAAGAAACAATAGAAATTAGAGCGAAAGTTAGTGAAATGAGAATTTAAAGACTTTCCAAATGATTAATAAAACCAAAAGTTGATTCTTTTTTTTTTTTTAAAGATTTATTTATTCATACAGAACTGGGGTACAGGCCAGAGATGCAGAGGGTGAGAGGATTCACCAGGGACAGAGCGGGGAGCAGAACAGGCAGATCAACAAAGTACACTGCTGAGGGGAGCAGCGGGCAGACAGGAGAGGTCTGCCACGCCATGTGGTCTCCTCCTGGGCAGGCGGGGACCGAACTCATGCAGAAGTGCCTTAAGCTTCTTAGTGCAGTGCTTTAACCCGCTGTGCCACCAGGAAGGGTCCAAAAGTTGATTCTTAGAAAAAAATATACAAAACCAACAAACCGCTACCCAGGCTCACAAAGAAAAAAGGGAGAAAATGCTAATAAATAGAATCAGAAACAAAAGAAAAGTGCTCTCTGTGAGGCTGGCTTCCATTTCTCTGGAGAATGTCAGGTTGGGCTGACCTGGCTGTGAAAAGGTGTGACTTATCTTTTCTCAGAGGGACTGCTGTGATGAACACTGATTCAGTGCTTATTCCATAAAGCCTGTTTTTCTTCCTCATTATTTCTATGGAGAGGTTTTCTGAGTTAGCAGATTTTATTGTAAGATATATTTTCCAACCCTGGCTGCAGCCTGGTGGAATTCTGTGGGCAGCTATGCTACCTGGTGGGCTCTTCTGTCCTCTCTGCTCTCCGGTCTCCTGTGGTACTGAGGGGTCCCCAAGGTCAGATGTGGACACAGGCTCTGTAGAAAGATGGTGCCTTTCAGGACCTTGGGCTAGTATTCTAGGGGTTCCTCAGTGTGAGATGCTTGTCTGCACCCAAGTGTATTTCCAAGTCATTCTCCTCACAGGATTTCAGTTTTCTATGAGGTAGAAGGAGCATGACAGTGAGGGCTCAGATGTCTATCTTCAAGTTTGTGTCAACCTGGAAACCTCCTGTTGTCTGCCTGGTGGCAGCAGCCACTGCTGGCAGCAAGACACCTGGGACCTGAGTGTGGAACCAAGGTTTGTCCTCTAAGCCACCGCTCCACAGAATGTGTTTTGGTGAGGCACTCTCCAGGTCAGCTGAGTTCCAACCCTGGTGCCCCAACTCCTAGCATTGTATCTCTG